AGCGTGGGATCATGGGAGTTCTTGTCTTCACCACCGTCATTAGTGGTGACTGGATAACAGCTAACAGACAAAGGCTAAAGCTAACAGGTCTCAGGTTATGATATGATGCTAACGTTAGCTCAGCTTGTTTCTCTGATAACTTAAGATCCAGACGTCCGATGACTAAAATCCTTCATCCGGTTCAAATCTAGAGTTAAAAAGCACCAAGATCTAAAGAGTGGATGGTAAACAGTCGATGTGTGACAGCTTCTGGCAGACAACCACAGCGCTGACGCAGCCACAGAGGGGATATGAATGTATACAGTGAAACGCACAGATTACAGATTCCTCTGAGTTTGGCTGTTTAGGTCTTTATCACCAGATGAATCCGGATATGAGTGCAGACGACTGCAGATGAACAGTTTCCTGGGGAAAACCCTGAACCAGTAATGTTTGTCAGTTCAACCAGTGAACGTGACAGCAGCTGCTAATGTTCACTGAATACTGTCTGCAGGCAGAAAGGACAAAGTACAGATTAAAGAATGAGTAAAATATGAATTAGTTGGTCGTATTTGATTGTTTTTTTATTGTTCTATTATATTTTATCTCTACATTTGATTGTTTAATTAAATTTGTATTTTATTTTATTGGTCATTTTGTGTTTGATGTGCTATCTTTGCACATATTGTGTTGTTTTTTGTGAAGCACCTTCTAACTCTGGTTATAGACTATTGATTATAATCTTTAACCTATAACCAGAGTTAGGAGGTCTGATTATTTTTATATCAGACTCATGGTGTGTTTACATGTTTTACAGTAGTTTCCTGTAAAGTTTGGATCAAGTCCAGTTCTGTCTCTCTGCTGAAGTTACAGAGTTAAATAAAGCTGCTGGCAGGCAGCCAAACATGCTTCTATGTCTCCCTCTAGAGCTGCCGGTCATCAATCAATCAACCACAGCTGATAAATAACTCTAAATGTTCTTCGATTGCTTACACAGATTTTTTTTAATAGTCTGACTGGTTGGAGAATAAAACCAGCAGCTGAAACTTTGGTGTTGATCGACTGCTGCAGACTGAGCGACTGTGACTGTGCAGCTCTGTCCATTAGTGGAAGTGACTTGTAAGCACGATACAGTCAGTCTGAGCTCATCACGGATTCCTTTTATTGATACGGTTCAGTCAATAACTCGGCTGTCAAGGTCGAGAACACTGGAGCTTCTGTACTTGTACGTATCAAGAGCCAGACTGTTGATTTAAAGACATTTCTCAGTTTCTGAGTTTGTTTCTTTTATTTCTTAAATGTTTTTCTTGTTTTTTCTAGTTGAAAATGATTTTATATAACTTGAAAGTGCTCTAATAATAACTACCTACTAGCTAATAACTAGGTACCTTGTGATTGACAGCTCATTCTCAGTGAGTCCGAATCAAACTGTCAAACTAGGCAGTGCTGATCAGATATGGATCCAGATTCTGTTACTGCGTTGACTATTTCTCTCCTCAGATCTGTTCACAAACAGATTTTACTGTTTCCTGCTACTGATTAGGGCTGTCACTTCTTGATTCAAATTTGAAAGTTTGTTCAAACATGGTTAGTGTAATGACCTGTTTCGAATTGAGCGATACTACAGACAGACAGGCAAAGCATCGCATTTTAAATCAATGCATTTTATTGGTGATTGATGTGTTTTTAAAAGCAGTGGCAGAGGAAGAACATCAGGCTTTCATACACACAATAGTTGTTAGATACAGTCTGGTTTATTGGTCACAGACAGTAATCACAGCACAGCATTTTGCTTTTCCATTACACAGACAGAGTTTACACCTGGTTGTCAGTCATTCAATTTAATGGACTCTGTTGGTGTGTTGGTGTTCCTGGTGAGACAGGAAGTGACCCACATTCAGATTCAGCTGACTGTGTTTTCTACCTGGCAGTAAAAGAAGATCCCTGTGGGGGAAATCTGGAAACGAGGCAGAAACATTCAATGAAAATACACCTCAGTACGATGTAGTAATGAAACAAACAGTTCCCCTGCAGTTGGAAGGAAATGACTACAGTTTTTGTACCTTGTTTGAATGCTCTCTCAGTGGTGACACTTTAACCCCGCATCCTCCAGCTCACAGGTTCAATAAACGCCGCGTTTGCCCAGTGACCTTTCCCCTCAAACACTTATCTAACGTGTTCTTGCTCAGACGTTTCTGGCTGTTCTGTAGTTTATGTTTTTGTTTAAGAACAAACAGAACATCTGAACATCGTTCATAATTATTTATTATCTAGTTTTCTAACCACATACAGGCCTTCCCTGCAGTCAGAGTCTGGGTTGGAGCCTCTGAGAGTGAAACTATTCAAATGAAGTCTTAATTCACTGCAGTTAGATGTGGAGATACTCTCTACATCTGTTTTCCTTCTCACTCGTTCTCATTCCTCAGAGGAAGACCATTAAATTAGCCAGCTGATACCTGACATATCTGTCCAATCGCCCAACCCTAATATATAATGTAATATAAAATAATATTTGTTTTCACTGATCTGAAGAATTAGAAGATAATCTAAGACATAACATCACAATAAGTAAAAATCCCAGAGTTTAAACCTCTCAGAGATCACTGGGTGTGGTTTATTTTGGTGATCCAGAAAACACAGGAGACAGGGTCAGAGAGAGACAGGCTGAGAGAGAGACAGGTAGAGACAGACAGAGAGTCTCATTATGAGTCTGTGGTGACCTCGTTCATCAGTCTTCGTTCCTCCTGTGTGTCCTTGATATCACAGCAGTGATTCTGCTGCAGTACAGCTGCACACACAGTCGACGGCATCGTGACTGTAGATTTATTGATGCAACATTTACAAAAAGCAGGTCTGTCAGTTACTGTCAGTTAACTGTTAACAGCTAATTGTACTTTAATTGTCAGGTAACGACAACACCCTGGAGAGGACAGGTTAGTTAACTGTAACTTAACAGTAGGGATGTCATGACCAATACCAGTGAAACTCCACAGTTCTCTATACCAGTTCGATATCACTATAAAAATGTCCCAGTGAAGGTTAATATCTCTGTGTTCTCTGCAACCAAGCTGTTCCTGAATGTTTTTATACATAATATATTCATATTAATATCACCTGTTATATATATTTAACACTAAATAACTAATAAAGTACAAACTCTTTTACCTGAGTTACCTGAATTCAGTTTAATGTTAACTTTTCCTCGTCTGTATTTCTTTTGCGCCGATTTCATGATTAAATTACTCTTATTTGCAGTTTGTGGTTGTTATTCGCCGTCCTCTACATGCTCTTCCTCTTCTTGTGGAATTTAACGGCAGACTGGAGTTTTTGTAGGCGTGTATGATGCCCCGTCAGGTCCCGGAAGAATTGCATTCTGGGTATCTCCAGTACTGTAGAAAAAGAGAACTGTCACATTTTCTGAATTTTAGTCCTGAAGTATCGGTTCTTGTAACATCCCTTCCTAACAGTCGGGTCTGGTGGTCTACAGACGAGGTCTTACTGTGAGTTGTGTCTGTAGTCACTGGCTGCTTTCGGCCTGAGATGGTGACACAGCAGTGGGGAAGTTGTGAGTCAGCTCAATGCAGCATCCTTTTATTACTTTATCTTCCTCTTTAAAGTCAGTACATGATGAATGTTAAAGGTTAATGCTTCTGTAATAATCTGAACCTCGGGATCATCTGCGTTCAGTTCTGGAGGTTTCATGTAATATATGTAATGTGTGAAGCCCTTCGGCACGCACAGATGATGGTTTTATAATATCCAGCGGTGACGCTTTGACCTTTCAGTTTCTCTCACATTGAAATCACAAGTTTTTCAGCTGTGCCGTCGCGCTTTCTCGTGTTTGAGATAAACACATCAGCTGTTTTAATTTCAGTGCCAAGAAGAGCTTGTGACGCTCAGTTCAGCTCAGAATACGGTGGCCTTGGGCGGACAAATGACTGAGGAGGCTGATGTTGTTTCCAGCACTGTGAGTTAAGACAGGGATTGTTGTTGTTGTTGTTGTTGTTTTCTGTATTTAAAGTGTCCTGAGGCTACGTGAAAGAGGCTTAAAATCTCATTCATTATTATTATCAGCTGTATGTTAGCATGCTAACATGCTAAAGATGAGATTGGGGAACATAGTAAATATTAAACTTGCTAAACATGTTTCAAACAATGTTGAAACTGTTATTGTGCCGCATATACAATTGCATGTTAGCATGCTGACATTAGCATTTAGCTCACCGCCGTACAGCCTGTAGAGTCCTAGTCTTATTATTTCTTATATATATAATATATTATATATAAGAGTATTGCAGTACTTTAATCAGTGATCCAAAGGCTGAGTCACCAATTGCCACTCAGAAAGACAAAACCATTGATCAGGAGATTGATCAGTGATGAAAATAATCATTGGTTACATGCAGCAGTTTGATGTTTATCATCAACCTCATCATGCTAAAAGACACTGTAGACCTAAAACAGGCTTGCCTTGTTTTTATTTCTGTCTCACCTGCGTGTGTGTGTGTGTGTGTGTGTGTGTGTTGCAGGATGTGACGGGTGTGTCCTGTAACATTAGTGTGATCGTTATCTGTGGTTTTCTGTTGGCAGTGCAGAGACAGCTGATTGTTTTTAATAGGGGCGTGGTGTGTGTGTGTGTGTGTGTGTGTGTGTGTGTGTGTGAGATGGTTACACACACACACACACATGTCTGAACTCACCCTGCAGTGTTGAAGCTGCATTTCAGTCCAGGTGTAATCACAGTTTGTGTCGGAGGGTTTTTCCGCTGACTCAGCACTGTAAATTATTTTCTACAGACGCTTTTGTAGGTGTGTTAGAAATCTCTTCATTTTGGAGGCCTACTGGGGACTTTTCTGTTAGCCAGTAATGTTTAAAATATCCTGACATCCATAGTAAACAACCAGCCAAGCTGTGGCTGAAGTTAATAATTTTGTAGCTGCAGTAACGAACCAGATATTCCCTAAAAAAGACAAAAACAAGATGGTTCTAACATCAGTCTCTGTTGTCTCCTTCCTCTCCAGCTCCTCTTGCTCAGTGTCTCCATGGTGAAGTGGGCGGGGTCTGATGTCAGCCCCTCCTCTTTACAACCTTCCCACCATGCCCACCATGGTTTCTAGGCTGCCCAAGTTCGGCTCGCGGCCTAAATCCGCCGCAAATTCCAATGGAGCTCAGACGGGACCGGCTGCCACCCCAAGCACCGCCGCCTTCACCAGCACCGCCGCCGCCACCAGCACCCGCCTCACCAACGGGTTCTACCACCACCCCGGCCCCGCAGGGGTCAATGGTACTTTAACCGCATCTCCAACTGCTGTCAAGCAGAACGGATTCATCAGAGTGCCAACTTCGTTTTCCATGAAATGGAGGAAAGAAAGTGAGACGTTGGAGGACGGGAAGGGCGGGAATTGCTCTGGTAACAGTCAGTATAATTCCCAACGGCAGCAGGCATCACCAGTGCCATCACAGCGCGACACCAAGAAGCCAGCACCTACTTCTGCAGGAAAGGGGCGTGGTTTTGGCCATCCTGTGACATCGTCATCATCGCCGTCGCCACAGTCCAGCCCCAGAGCACTTCCTGTCTCTAAGAGTGGATCTCAAGGCTCGAGCCAAACTGCATCCGGGTTAATCAACGGAGCAAAACTGGCCCTGAATGGTCTTTCTGGATCTAAACCACGAATCAGTGGTTCTCTGAGACCGCCTCAGAGCTTTGTTTCTTCCAGGCCCGGTTCTGGTCCTGGTTCTCGATCTGGTTCCCCTCTACAAAAGAAAACGCAAGCCAGCCGCTCCCACTCCACCGACAGCCTCGGGTCCGCTCCGTCTGTCCCGCTGACTGAAAGTGATCGTTTTCGGTCACGCAGCCTCACCCAGGTGAGAGGGCAGCCCTCCCCCAACCTCTCCCCTTCTTCAGCCTCCTCCTCCTCCCTCTCTCGCAACCCTGCCACCTCCCGCTCCTATGGCATCAACAGGGCCGGTGGGCGAGCTTCCTCTGCTCAGGCTACGCCCAAAATGGCAAAATCTCCTGTTAGTCAGACTCCTGAGGGAGGGGGCAAAGGTGGAGGGGTCAAAGTTCAAAGTTCAGGAAGATCAGGTGCCAGCATCCCATCCCTCCTGCTCCCCTCTGCCTTAAAGAAGCCCCTCCTACCCAGCATTGGCTCCGCCTCTAAGCCCAGTGGCATCAGCTATAAGCTGTCACGCCCGTCACTCAACAAGCAGTCCCGCCCCCTGCGAGTGACCCCAGCCAATGAGGCGGAAGGAGACCCTGAAGGACCGACAGCACGGAGGAACTCCGTAGAAACGCTCTCGACTACAGAGAACAGCCCAGGTTTGACTTTCTGATCACAATATCATCATGTCTCATTTTATCATCTCATATTTCATAAAATCTCATATTTCATCCATCATATCTTTTCATTTCCATTCTTTTTAATCAGTGATAGCTCTCATCTTCTTTTCTTCTCACTTCATATCTCATCAAATGTCATATTTTCATTGTTTTTGCTTCCACTTTTCGTTCGATGTCCTCACCATCAGAAAGTACCCCAGAGGCTCCAGAGACAGAGGGGCTGATGACAGAGCCGGCATCCCTGGCAGAGGTGTCGATTGTGGGGGAGACGCTTGAGGACATGTCCCTGTCCTCTAACTCGTCTCTGGATAGAAATGACACCAGTCAGGAGTACATGGACGACTTTGACAACCTCGGTAAGAAAGGATTCTACATTTTGAGATTTGTACTGAGGGTCTGTACACGTGGAAACCAGCAGCATCTTATGTTGTGTTTGCAGGAAACGGAGGGGTGGGCATTCTGCTTCTTCCCTCTAAAGACGACGAAGACGACTCAGGGCTTGACCAGTCATGTGCCAGGTTTGATGAAAACAAGGTGGCAGTCAACGGCAAGGCGGCAGGACTGTGTTTTCTGGATGACGGTATAGACTGGACCGGCATGAGGCTCAGTGGTGAGTTTAATGGGATGGACGTAAAGATTGGGAAACATTAGTTGAACAAATCTTATCAAAAAATCTCTTTCTCTCCAGGTGAGCAAGGGGAGCATCGGCTGACCCGACTCCCCCATCGGAGAAGGTCCAGTCAGCCGGAGTACCATGACCAGGTAGCGGTGGAAAGAATACTGTAACATTACTCTTTAAAAACGTCAAAACCGCCTGATCTGGTCTGAACATGGCCTCTGTCTGGCTTCATATAATATAATAAAATATTGTGTGTCAATACATGTAGTGTCATGATACTTGACTCACAGTTTATAGGTGCAGTAGACCTTCAGACCGAATAGTGTGACACATCAGCCTTATTGTTCACAGGGTGTAAAAGCAGTTTCTAACCTCCTGTCAGCTGCTGCGTCACCCAACCAGCTTCTCAATTATTCAGCAGCACCAAACAGAAGCTGGAGTGAAGCACCGGTTGTGGTTTCTGCTGTGAGTCCATTAAAAGAAGCTGCTTCAGACAGACATATTTTATCAGTTGCTGCTGAGATGCTGATCAGAGCAACCTCTCGGCTCTGTTAGGAGTCAAAGGAGCCTTGTTCTGTTTGAAAATAGGAAGAAAAAGACAGCAGACAGTCAGAAGGAAAGATTCCTGCTCTGACAGCAGCAGAAATACTACTGCTAGTATTATGAAAAATAATCTAAATTAAAGCTGCAAGCAGCGATGAACGGACCCTCGCAGTCCAAACGTATACATGCTGCGGTCGCTTGGAGATATGAAAGACGAAAAAATTAATTAAAAAGAATTTAAATGAAAGGTGAAAATTGATAAAATTAGATTAAAGATGCAAGCAGTGATGATTGTCATTTGTGTGAAGACCACACTGTGGAAATTTCATGTTAATCAGATGATGATTGTAATACAAGACTTAGTTCTTGCTTCCAGTAGGTGGCCCTGAGACTGAATACTGGCATGTTGATGTGTTTCATGGCGAAATGTCAAAATTCATCATGTGCTTTTCATCGTGATGGTCTTTAGATTGGACTCACGATCCGAAAAGCATGTTCAGTCTAATAAAAATGCAATTCACTTCACATCTTTCTCTGTCGTTTCGTAGGGCGGTTCGTCCCTGGACCTGTCCCCGTCGGACAGCTGTGGCTCAGGGGGAACCTACATGTGGGACGAGGAGGGCCTGGAGCCACTAGGGGGTGCCGCCACGACCGTCTCAATCAACACCAACAGCAACACCACCCATCACATCGGGAGCTTCGACTCCGACCTCAACAGCATCGTAAGGCCTGAACTGACACTGATTAACCAGTTAAAGTAGATAAACACCAGTTTACTGCAGATATTTATAATAAGTTTAATTAGTTTTATGTACAGATGAGTGCAGGAAACAAATTATAGATTAATGTACAAATCTGTAGTTGAAGCTGAAGACAGTTAAAGGTTTTCTTTAGTAGCACTATGGAGCTGTTTATCTTTGAGTAGGTTTTGTTTGAGAACATTTTTTAGAATTTTGCTGTTTTGATCATCCTTCTAATCCGATAATTCAAAATGTGTATAAAAATATTTCCACAGAAACACAGATAATAGTTGAGTAATAGTGCTATAGATACAGGTCAGAGGTCTGCTTGTCTAGGAAGTCAAACAAGGATAGATTTGTTATTTTCCTATTATGTCAAGAGAGTGTCAGTGTTTTTTAATTAACACACTCACACATCAAAGTTTGTCTTCAACTTAAAGACAAAGATCTCTATACTGTAAAATGTGTGCAATTTGATCCACTTCACAGAAGGCTTTATTATAAGGAATTAATAATTAAATCTTTTCTAATACCTTAAAAGAGAATTTTGCGTTCTAACCAGTGCAGTAAAATGTGATTTAACCTGTCTTTCGTCAAAAAAAAGACATCATTTGACTTTACTAAACTCATCCTGTGATTATTTGTCTGAAAATTATTAAATTAACTGTTGCTAATGCCACAGTGTGAGCAGCTGATTAAATAGAAAAGAGACAAAGTGAGGAGCTGTTTAATATTCCAACAGTGTCGGCTCCGTCCTGCCTCTCTGTCCCACTTGGGGCCAGTTCTTGGCTTCAGAAACCAGCAGTTAAAACAAGGTCATCCTGCGTCGCCTGAGAACAAACCAAACATCAGACAGGCAGAAACAGATGAAGTTAAATGTCAGAATGGTGCTGCTCTTTGCCGTTGGCACTTGTTGCACATTTTTGGAGCGAGTCTGAACTCGAGGTCTGAACTTAAAGCTGTAAATCTCAGAGTTGCTGCTTCAATAACTAACTCTGCAGTATAATGACACCTGAGTACAGCACTTAAGTGTTTAAGACTTTATTTTAACCAGTTGTGTTGGACTCCTTTGTCGGGATTCAACGATACACTCAACTCATGATTCTTTTAACAAATATAACGAAAAATATTTTTGTTCTTTATTCTCAGACAAAATGTCTTTTCCCTATTTGATTTATCAAATTAAATTAATTAAAGAATACATTTTTTAATGTCTAGTTATGGTATAAACATATTTCCTTTTCTTTGTAAGAAGATAGCCCCGTCTGCTGTTTTAAAATGAGTATCATTATTATTTTAACATATGTATCACGATTTAACAGCCTTGTGATATATATTTACATTCCTTTACTTGTTTTTAGGTGTTGTATTTTTTTACCTTTTCACCAGATATAATAAGCGAGTGTGCAAACAAACAGTCTCCATGGAAACTGTAGTTTTACTGCTGTAAAAATCTTTACATATTACATATTATCTTTACATAATCCATACTTTACCTTTAGTAAGGAAACCTTTTAAGGATAAATTAACCCTCAAGTGTCATACTTAAGGAGAAAACTTCTTGATCTTCAGGTCTCCTCATGAGGACTGAAGTCTGAATGAGATCCTCTGCCTCCCTCTTGTGTCCGCTGAATGAAGTACAGCTGCGGCTGCCAACCAGTGACACTTTCACTGCTGTGTGTTGTTGTAGGGCATAGTTCAGTGCTGTAGATACAGGTCAGAGGTCAGTAATGTATATTTGAATAATATAATAACAATAATGATATTATTAATATTAAATTTTATTTCATTTCACATGTTGAAGGTGAGGCAGCTGACTGAGATTATTCATAATATTTTAACACTTCAAGTGATTTAAACTAAAACATTTTTTAGATTTCACAGGTGTGTCTCAAGTTAATTTTAAATGTATAAATTGTATTATCATAAAAATAATTTGTCAAAAGAGAAGCCTATTGTTGTATGATTGTTAAACAGACTGAGAATTGTAGGAAAACTCATCTCTGATCAATAATTACAGGAAAAAATCTTCTCAAAATGCACCCAAATCTCTGGTTTTACACAAACTTCCTGCAGTTATTGAGTTTACTGTTTGGGTTCGTTGTGCAGTTTATCAGATGTCCTCTGCTGTTAATGTTATTTATGAAATATAATGAAATACTCATAAAATATAGTCAGTTTATTCAATAATAGAATAGAGCTCCTTTAAAGAAAAAGGTTGTGGACCAGCGATATAGTTAATTGAAGAGAGGATCGTCAGGTGGGTCAGTCAATCAATCGTCTCCAACCTTGTGTTCACTGCAGTTAATATACTTCCTGAATAATGTTGAGTGGGTGTTAATGAGCTCTCTCTCTCTCTCAATGTGCCCCGTGTGTTAACGAGCTTAAAGAGCGATTGACCCTAATGAGCTCTGGGGCTTAATGATCTCAGAACGTTAACGAGTTCCCTTTTGTTTTTTGTTTTTTACATATCTATACCGGACTGGTTTTTGTCTTTATTGTGCTGGCGTTGACACAAATAGTTATTTAATAATGTTTGAAATGAGCAGCAGAGGTCAGTGTTGGTCTAAGGATGGGCTGTGTTCTGTGCCGGAAGGTCAAACAACCTGAAATCAGCAGAAAGATGATGTTTCTAATTTTTTCAGCACAGAAAAAAGCTGCTTTTTGTGGTTTGTTTGTCAGTGCAGCGCTGCCTGATCAAGTGGAGGAAGTCTGTGTTTGTGTACAAGACTAAATCATCGATAACTCCAGAGGTCAGAGCGAAGAGGAGGAGGAAGAGAGGACTCAGGAGACCGTGTTAATGTTGTCAATGAAAACTGAGACGAAAACAAGACTAGAACTAAATAAAAAGAGATTTTCTGGCTCAAAATGAGGCAGTAAAACTAAATCAAAATCAGGGATGGAGGAGAGAATAAGGAGAAAGGAAGAAAGGAGGAGAGGTTAGGAGATATAAAGAGGAGAAGGGATGAGGGAGGGGAGGAGGAAAAGATCGAAGATGAAGGAGAAAGGATTTAACAGGAAAGCAAAGGAAAAGAGAAGATAAGAGGAGGAGAAAAGGCTGAGAAATGAGAGGATGAAAGGAGAGAATATGACAGAAAGAAGGAGAAGAGATAAGCCAGGAGGAGGAGATTAGGAGGTAATGTGTTGCTGTGGATGAGTGGTCTCAGCCTGCAGGGACAGGCTGCAGGTTGCAGCAGTTATTCAGGGTGAACGTTTGCTCTCAGGTTACTGTGCTGTGACTAAGCTTCTCCAGGCAGGAAACAAATTCTTCTTCTGTCTGTTCCCAAAACTTCTCTTTGTTTCTGCAAGTTTGCATTTTGATTTGTGAGTCTGTGAGAAACCAGTTAATGTGTAGAGTTTGTACTGGTTTATACTTCGCCTGCCTGTTTTGTAGGGGTTTGTCGATGCACTTAAAAGTTAAAGTACTTCACATTTTTTAGCGCAGCCACTCGTGAATGTCACACAATGTCACCAAGAGTTCGGCTTTACTATTTCACCGCTTCCTTCCTGTTTTGATGCTGTTTATAGGGTAGGGGTTAGGGTTAGGGTAGGGGTTAGGGTAGGGGTTAGGGTAGGGGTTAATAGTGGTGGCAGAAAAACAACGTGAACAAAGTCGAGAGTAAACGAGAGAATAAAGAAGAAACTTGTCTTGCTGTTACAATGGAGTTTGCTAACATCTACAAACAACCGATACAGTCAAAGTGAAATATATTGTGATATTGTGGTTTTAGGTGGCTAATGTTAGCTTGTGTGCTAACGTGGACAGAGTGCTAACTAGCTAATGTGGCAAAGTCGTTAGCTATACTCATTTGCTTTGTACAGTTATAATTTATTGTTGGCTAAATACAACACAGTTTGTCAGAATACGTGAGTTACTATCATGGATCGCATTAGCTGGGGAAGTAATTTGGCAAGTTAACGTTAACGTTAGCCAACTATAGTCAGTATTTTGTTAGCGATAACATTAGCGAGCAAGCCAAATAAAGCAGTTTTTCCATCAAGTCTGAAGCAATATTTAGCCCCCTTCCTGACTAGCTAGCTTTCATATAAAACCAGCATCTTCTTCACTGTCAGGTGTTTTTTTGCATTTTGAACCAGACATTTTAGATAAAGAAAACTGTGAAGATAAATGTGGGTAGGCAATTTTAAAAAGCCTGTAATCTCATTTAAAGCTGAGATAATGATTATGATAAGGACCACAGATCACAATAATGATGCTAAAGTGGAAAGTTTTGTTTTTAATGCTCTTAAAGTTTTAAAATACGTCTGAATCGAGTCCTCTCTTCTACATTGTGCAGAAACTCCCTCAGCTGCCATTGATCAACAGGCTCAAAAAACCTTCTCCTCACAATGACAGAAGGTCTTTTAGTCTTTTATCAGCCTCTGGTTGAAGTTTACGCCGTCCTTCGTACTGTAGCTGCAATTTCACCAGTGAAGGAAATAGATTGGATTTTGATTTTTGTTCTTTTGTGTGTCCGCTCTGGGATTTTATGTTGTGCGGGATAGAAAAGCTCTGTGTCTGTCTCACCTTGCAGAAAATTGGAAATCAAAAAGAGAATTATTTTAATGTACTATATTTCCTACTTTATTGTCCTCTGACATATGTAATGATTGCACTGTCCTTCATGTACCCACAGGCTAGTACAAACCATCATCTGCTCTCTCCCGTTGTAGTTTTATCAGCTGTCCATAGTTTTTATCAGCTAAAACAGTTGCAGGTTAGCCAACAGTCTACTTTAGCAGCTGAAACAGTTATAAAGTCAAATAACTTTGTTCAGGTTAGCTAACAGTTCAGCTTATCTGATAAAACTGGTTGATTAGCTAACCGTCCAATTTTACAATAGTAGTTTTGTCATTGATCTGTGATGTTTGATATTTTGTAATGATGGTGTTCCTGCGTCTCCCAGAATGCCTTTCAACATTGAAAAAGTCATAAACTTGTAATTACCTGAGAATGTGGAACAAACCTCAATGTAAAAAAACCCAGTATAAAAACCAGTGGTGGTGTCCAAGATGGTGTCAGACTTTCTTTCTGTGTCTTTCAGGACATCTTGAACAACCTGGACTGCGATCTGGATGATGATGACCTCATGCTGGACGCAGACGTCCTTGAAGATGCCTCACTGCACAGCGGTGCGTTTGTATAAACTCGTTATGTGAAATGATGGATCCCACCGAGGTCACATAAGACCTGTGATGTGTGACACGATCTGACTCATTTTCCTGTAAAGGTTTATTAGGCTAAATGATCCACGCTAGCAGCAGATTCAGAACACACAATAGTTACTAAATTCATCCAAAAGTGATGTAGAACCTGAAAGCGAGCCGATTTAAACGGCTGAATGTTTGATACGATGTAGGGTGCTACAAAGTCTAATCTTTAGCTTTAACTCCCCTGTTAAGTTAGCTAGCAGTTCATTTTAGCATCTTAAACCATTGATGCCTGTTAGCTAAGGGTTCAGTTAAGCAGCTGAAATACCTTTGTTCAAGTCAGCTAATTGTTCTTTCTTTATCTTTAGGAGCTAAAACAGTTGCAGGTTAGCTAATGCTTCAGGGTTAGGAGCTAAAACTGTCTAGCTCTTGGTTTAATCTTTGAAAAGTTCCTTCCCAGTAGAAAACTCATTATTGTTAGGAATTGAATGCAGTCTCGGACCTCTGTGCTGTTTAACGTATACCTGCCCACCTCTATCAAGACTTTAATACAGACAACTTTAAGATGTCTGGATGATTTAGTGATTACAAATCCAGTCTTAATTAGCTTTTTATACTCCAGATAAACTCATTTTCATTCGTAATAACCCCTTTTCACCCCTGTGCTGCTGGTCTGAACCCTGCAGATGGAGACGGGATCTCCCACATGGCTCAGTGGAGGATGAGACAGCTCTGCTGGGGGACGCAGGACGTCCACAATGACAATGAAAGGTGAGGGAAGATACTGTTAATGTGTCCTGGATTAACCTGCAGGCTGGTGGTCACATTCACGTCGGGGCTTTCTGTGAGGAAATGTTTACAAAGTGTGAATGTCTGTAGAAATGTTCAGACTGATGAGTAGAAAACACTTAACATGGAGACCTTCCCGTCCTCCCAATTATACCGTTGCAGCTAATCAGTTGATTCAAGTTAGCTAACAGTTCAGTTTAGCATCTAAAACAGCTGATTCAGGTATAATATTAGCTTATTGAGGAAAACTTGCAAAAGTTTGCAGAGATTGCAAGTTTACAAAGTGTGAATGTCTGTAGAAATATTCAGACTGATTACCAGAAAACACTTCACATGGAGACCTTCCCGTCCTCCCAATTATACCGTTGCAACGCTGCCAAAGTTTAACCTCGCAGTGGTGAGAGGGGAGGTCAGAGAGGGTAATTTCAAAGTTGAAAAGTTTGTCCTGATGGTGGTTTTAGGGTCATAAATGCACCACATGAACAAGTTTCTTCCTCTTTATTGGGAGTATGACTGTGCATTTCTGTGTTATTATAAAGTCAGCTTATTAGAGAAATATTGTGTGTGTGTGTGTGTGTGTGTGGGCTATGTGAAGGTCGCAGGGTCACTGAAATCAATATGTTTTGATTGTCAGCGTGTAGATGTTTTGTGAGATATTCTGGTCACAGACAAACAAGTGAATGAGGAGAAGTTGTGACCTCTGCCCTGTAGAGGAGGGAATAATCAATCGTAGCTTTGAGCTAAATCTTAATAAGAAATAGCTTTTTATTAAAACAGCTCTGAGCTGAACATCTTTACTGCTCCTCTTTCAATCCTGATAATTCGGGGACTTTATAAAACCAACTCTATAAAGTGTTAAATGTGACCTTATGAACCTTTTGGCTTTATTTATTGACCGCTCAGAGTTCACTGTACTGGGTCAGAGCTGAGGTTGTTATTGTGAGCTGAAATAAAACTGAAAGGGAAATATAAACTAGACTTTCCAAATAAACTAAGCTAACAGAAACAATATTGTGAAATTAAAAAAGTAAAATAAAATCCCTGAAAATAATAATTATCTCTAAAATAAACAGGAAAAACCTGTAAACGAATATATTCTTTTTTTACCCGTATCAGTACACATTTTATAATTTTAAAAACCCAATAACAACTAAACTGAGACAAACACTGGTAGCTGTGGTAGAAAATGACCATAATGCATCATGCTGTCGCCCCTTTAGTGACTTCCAGTGCTACAAGCTAACTGAGGATCCTGGGAACAAGAGGACCGACAGCGACCTCATTCTGGACCTCTGTCCTCCGAGGTGACTCAAACCTTCTCCAGTATCACCAGTGCAACCAGAGCTCCCAGTTCACCACATTAATAGTCATTATTTCCTGGTAGCTGTCTGACAGTCTAATATTAATCTCTGTTACCTTTATTGAGTTGATTCAGTGGAGTAATGTGAGCTCTGCCCCCCCCTCAGGTCTCCCTTCCTGTCTCCTGGTAGTCCTGGTTTGGGTCTGGATGTGGAGGAACTGGCTGAAGACTGTTCTGCTGTCAGATCACAGCTGGAGTACCTGCAGAGGTTGCTGCTTCAGGTGAGTAGCCACTGAGATAGCAAGCAAGGTAATGTTACCCAACCAACATATCCACTCAGATAGCAATTTTCTAACGACAATGTTTCTGTGCAAGCAAACTAACATTAGCCTGCAAAGTAACTACAAACGGAAAGCCAACCAAATCAGCCTCAGGAGTCTGGCTAGCAATGTTCCACATTAGCAAGCTAAATCGAAGCAGGCTAACGTTAGCCAACTAAAACCACAATAAGACAATATATTACACAAGCCTGATCTTTGGACTCTGTGTTGTTCTAGGCGTCAGTTTGGCTTTCTATCCCTCTTTTTCGGCTGTTTATGAAGTCAGGGTCATACATTTGAACATAAATGCAGCTTTTTGCATTTTGGGTTAGGACGTCCAGGACAATTTGCATCTTTGCCTCGACTCCTAGTTTGATTTACCTTAAGATGATGCTGCATTAAAGGTTCTAATGTTGTTCTACAGGACAGTTTCCAAACAGAAACGATGTTCTGTTCGTTCTCTAATAATCTTTAATGAAATGTCGTTCAGGAGGAGGAGGTAGACGATGATACTCTGACCACAGACACTCTGAGTCCTGAAGCCAACGACTCCTCCCACGGCTCCGACTCACAGGTCAGCATGTTTCAAACGTTACTCAAACTTCTTTCCTGCAACCAGCCTCACCTGCTCCTTCCAATATTAATCCAATATGTGTGTTCAGGTGCAGGTTCTCCTGCAGGAGGTGCAGCAGCTCAGAGAGGAGCTGAGGAGCCGAGACCGAACCATCGCACAACTCACCCTGCAGCTGGTCTGTGTCAATGTCTCTCTGCCCCCTCTCTCTCTCTCTCTCTCTTTAGCATGTTTACTCTCCACATGCTAAGTGCTAACGAGCGTCCTCGTGTGCTCTTTAGCAGACTGTTCCCGTGACGACCACCAGGTGTCGCTGCCAGGAGATGACGGGAAGGGTGGACCGCCACACGCAGACAAGTGCGACGGAGAGAGAGAGTGTGGCCTCGCAGACACCCTGGAGAGAGCACGCTGTGAGCGCACGCACACACACACACACACACACGCACGCACACACACACACACACACACACACACACACACAATGTTTGATTTATTGATTATTTATCAGGTTTCGTGCAGAGGTGCAGCCCAGAATGCTTCACAAAACAGAACAATATTTATCAGAAAACTACCAACAAGCCGTGTTTGCTCAAAGACAGGTTGCTTTACTGAAGTCACCTGCAAGGGTTTGTGGGTAATGTAGTCCTTGAAATACAAACAGTTGTCTCTCGCTGTTCTGAGATGCTTGTACCTGAGGAGGTTTCTGGTGCTGTAAATATCATTATTACTCCCTTCCTTTCATCCTGTCTTCCTCCTCCTCCTCTTCTTTTTCCTCGTGATGTTATGACTCAGCTTCCTGTCCTCCTCTCTGTCTCCCTCCACTCTGTCTCTCCTCAGGCTTTACCTCCTGTTCCTTTCCTCTCTCCGCCCTGGCAGTATCAGCGCTCCAGGCCTTACAGGGGGAGGCCGAAGCCCTGCATCCCCTCCCACCTCGCTAGAAAAAGTGAGTCTTATAACCCCCTAACCAGAACCAGAACTCCCATTACCCAGTCCACACTGCTGACCCTTCCTTATCTTCCTCCACCTCATCATCATGATCATCTGTCCCTGGTAGATCCTGCCTTTAGGACTGAAAATTATTAACATTATTTAAAATATTAAACTAACTTTTCTTCATGAATTTCAAATATGAATAAAAAAGGAAAAAATTAACCAAATGATTAATTCATGAAATGAAAATCTGAATATATCGGCTGCAGTTTCACCAGATTGTGTTCAATTAAAATTACTTAATTAAAAGAATTTACAGTAAAAAGTAGAATGTGTCTGCTAATTAGCTGCTGCTTACTGTGTCTGCTGTTAGCGGGCGACTGAACCGGGCTCAGCAGCTGGACCGGGATCGAACACCGCCTCCGAGACCGACAGGGAATAACGTTACAGTACCGAGGTCATTTACAGAGTTTCTGATTGACAGATTCAGATCAGTAGCCAACCGCTAACTGTTGTTAGCTAACCTAACTCAGCCCTGAGACGCCAGGAGCCAAACCAGGCAAGAATTTTGTTGGATTTACTCTCGGTGTCTGAGATTGTGTTTGATCCAGGTTCATTTGTTTTTACAGGAAACATTTAACAGCACTCTGTTTTTCATTTCATAAGGACTTAAAAATGAACACTGAAATCTGACAAAAGGACACAAATGACGTTAATTGTTGGTTGTCAGTCGCTGAATGTACTGCAAGGAAGTTTTAACTGGTTATGAAACAGTCTCAGTTACACTGCTGCCTCCATATAAGCTACATGAACAATCAGACCATCAGAGAAGATATTTCTATATACAACCCCAATTCCAATGAAGTTGGGACGTTGTGTAAAACGTAAATAAAAACAGAATACAATGATTTGCAAATCCTTTTCAACCTATATTCAATTGAATACACTACAAAGACAAGATATTTAATGTTCAAACTGATATACTTTATTGTTTTTTTGCAAATATTCACTCACTTTGAATTTGATGCCGGCAACATGTTCCAAAAAAGCTGGGACAGGGGCATGTTTACCACTGTGTTACATCACCTTTCCTTTTAACAACACTCAATAAGCGTTTGGGAACTGAGGACACTAATTGTTGAAGCTTTGTAGGTGGAATTCCTTCCCATTCTTGCTTGATGTACAACTTCAGTTGCTCAACAGTCCGGGGTCTCCGTTGTCGTATTTTGTGCTTCATATTGCGCCACACATTTTCAATGGGAGACAGGTCTGGACTGCAGGCAGGCCAGTCTAGTACCCGCACTCTTTTACTACGAAGCCACGCTGTTGTAACACGTGCAGAATGTGGCATGGCATTGTCTTGCTGAAATAAGCAGGGACGTCCCTGAAAATGACGTTGCTTGGATGGCAGCATATGTTGCTCGAAAACCTGTATGTACCTTTCAGCATTAATGGTGCCTTCACAGATGTGCAAGTTACCCATGCCATGGGCACTAACGCACCCCCATACCATCACAGATGCTGGCTTTTGAACTTTGCGCTGATAACAATCAGGATGGTCCTTTTCCTCTTTGGCCCGGAGGATACGACGTCCATAAATTCCAAAAACAATCTGAAATGTGGACTCGTCAGACCACAGCACACTTTTCCACTTCGCGTCAGTCCATCTCAGATGAGCTCGGGCCCAGAGAAGCCGGCGGCGTTTCTGGGTGTTGTTGATATATGGCTTTCACTTTGCATGGTAGAGTTTTAACTTGCACTTGTAGATGTAGCGACGGACTGTGTCAACTGACAATGGTTTTCTGAAATGTTCCTGAGCCCATGTGGTAATATCCTTTACACATTGATGTCGGTTTTTAATGCAGTGCCGCCTGAGGGATCAAAGGTCACGGGCATTCAATGTTGGTTTTCGGCCTTGCCACTTATGTGCAGAGATTTCTCCAGATTCTCTGAATCTTTTGATGATATTATGGACCGTAGATGATGAAATCCCTAGATTCCTTGCAATTGTACGTTGAGAAACGTTGTTCTTAAACTGTTGGGCTATTTGCTCACGCAGTTGTTCACAAAGTGGTGAACCTCGCCCCATCCTTGCTTGTGAATGACTGAGCCTTTCGGGGATGCTCCTTTTTATACCCAATCATGACACTCACCTGTTTCCAATTAACCTGTTCACCTGTGGAATGTTCCAAACAGGTGTTTTTTGAGCATTCCTCAGCTTTCCCAGTCTTTTGTTGCCCCCGTCCCAGCTTTTTTGGAACATGTTGCAGGCATCAAATTCAAAATGAGTGAATATTTGCAAAAAAACAACAAAGTTCATCAGTTTGAACATTAAATATCTTGTCTTTGTAGTGTATTCAATTGAATATAGGTTGAAAAGGATTGTATTCTGTTTTTATTTACGTTTTACACAATGTCCCAACTTCATTGGAAATAGGGTTGTAGTTATTATTAATGTCTGCCACCGGGTCGGACTCCACTTAAAAGCAATGTGGTAGGGGATAGAAACACTACTGCTTTTGTCCACAGGGGGCGCCAGGATTAACACAAAATCAAGGTTCCTTATTGCTGCTTTAAATAAAAGAATCTTTTAATTTAACAATCTTTAAAACTGTGAACAGAAATAGTAATTTTTTTAACTTTATGTTGGATTACTGATAATTTCTGCAGCACCACCTCTGCATTGTGCTGAAATCAGACTGCACAGTAGTTCTGTCTTTGTAGACTATCGCTGTGATAGAACAGAGAGTCATCAGCATATCGGACCACACACGTTAATTCAAATGACCAAATATCATGGAAATAATCTGTTTTTTTTATCCCCTCATCATAAAGCTGAGCCTTGTGGAAACCCAGACTGACCAAACAGAGCTGGAGCATATGCATACATGGTGTCTGCAGGGTCTTAAACTCAATATTCTCAATTTTAGATCTTAAAAGTGTCTAAAAAATGATTTTGATAGGTCTTAAAAATTGATTGGATTAATCTAGTTTCCATTGCAAATACAGAATACAAAATGGCCACCAATGACCCAAGTTTGCCCATTCATATGTAGTCAGAAGTTAGCAGGTGAAGGGTCAAAGGTCAGATTGACTTCCAGCACAAAATAAATATTATAGTCGAAATCCTGCTCATCCAAGACTCAGCTGCACTGAATCAAATGCTCCAAATTAAAAGTTTCTGTGCGACATTGAAGGTTATTTTAACTTATTCATGATTGAACATTAGAGCTGCGACTTCAGAGGGAAAATCAGTTCAGACACAAGTTTAATCTGCTGGTCACTTCACTCCAACTTTAATAATAAATCAACGTGTTCCAAACTTTAACTAAACTCTCCTGATTAGTTTTCAGCTCTTTCATCCTCCATCCTTCCTCCCGCTGTCTGTCTGGACAGACCTTCAGTGTGTCTGCCTGAAACTGTTTCTGAGTGTATTTGGTCCTCTAACTGTCCTCCCTCTGTCCTCTGTGTGTCTCTCCTCTCTGCCCTCGCCCAGGAGTGGAAACACTAGTGCTTTACTTCAGTGACACAGCGTGGTACGGTAGCATCTTTATTATCTTCCGTCATCTCCTCCTCCTCCTCCCTCCCTTCCCCATCCCATAAGATAGTTTGTGTCGTCTGTCCATCATCTTGTCCACCGTTAAAGTTGTTTCAGTTGGTTTTTGGAGTCTTCACCATATCACCGCCTCTGTTGTTGCACCAGTAAAGTCCCAGAATGTCCGATCTGTTTGCTAAACTCTCTGTTAGTAACCTCTCGTGTTACGTCACCCATCGGTTGGTGGAGAACCGCTCTGAAGCCTCCAGTTTGGCGTTATGGTCGTCGCCATGACAGGGGTGACGTACTGCAAGTTGATCTGCTCTCACTGGCTGCTCTTGGTTTGGAAACAATGGCGGCTCGCCTGGTCACACACAATCTGGGATTCCAGATAAACAGTAAAATATGTTTGTGAACAGATTATGAAGAGATAAATAGTAAACACAGTAACAGAATATTGATACATATCTGATCAGCACTGTCCAACACTGCATTTTCATGTGTTTTTAGTATATTTTTGTACAATTTTTGTGTATTTTTTGTGTGTTTTGTGTGCGGTTTTCACGTGTCTCTTGTGCATTTTTCATCTTCATGTATAGTATATATAATATATTAGATTTTGTAATGTATTTTCCATGTATTTTTCATTGCGTTGAGCTGGATGGACTCTGTAAATGAGCTGTCAATCACAAGGTAGCCCTGCCCTAAAGCATATCCTGCTTTATGGTCTGTTTTACTCTAAATGGGACCATCAGTTACTAAATGAACATCATGCTGTATGGAAGTAGACTGTAACTACAGACTGAGACCATAAACCCATCAGGAAACTGTTTACAGAGCTCATAAATCGACATCTCTCTCATTTTGCAGCCGCCCCCTGCTGGCTGTTAGAAAGATTGCAGTCCAGTAGGAAGGCCGTCGGGAGCTGACCTACGTTTTACCGAT